AGGAGTCCGGTGACATCGATGTCCGTGACGTCACCGGATCTCCGACGGAAGACCCGGAAGCCGGCGGAGAGGTGAGTACGGATCAAAAGAACTTTGATCGATCAAAATTATTTTGACCACTGGATTTAGTGGTTAGACTAAACTTGAAAGACAGATTTTAAATAAAGAATACAAACAAAAAAAAAGAGGATAGAGAAAGGTGGGTTTTTTGAGTGGCTCTAGAGGGGACACAACCAATAAACTACAGTTTTACGACAGGATGTATAAAAGTATAAATGTATTAGAACAATTGACTAAATTGTAGTGAATAGTAATTCAACTATATCCTGTCTTTTGATTCACACATGATGGTGTCCTTAATTGTATAGGATATGACTATTTAGATCCACCTTGGTTGTGGAGCACAAGGGCTGATAGGAGGTTGTTTGTTAAATCCTTGATGTATTTATGTCGCATACATGCTTTGTTGCATATCTATTGTTTTTAGTCAATTGTTCTAATAAATTTATACTTTTATTCATCCTATCGTAAAACTGTAGTTTATTGGTTGTGTCCCCTCTAGAGCCACTCAAAAACCCCACCTTTCTCTATCCTCTTTTTTTTTGTTACCATTATACCAGGGGTTGGTCTCTATAGGGGTAGGTTCTGTGCATCCCAAAACGTTTGTTGCTTTTAAATAAAGAATGTGAAAAGCTAAACATTATGGATCATGTGCACTCTAACTACCTGAATCCCAATGTACAGGTTTTGTAGGTATGAATATGAGTCCAGTCAGTTTATTTTCATATATGAATACATCAATGCTAGAAATGTTATTCTGACTTCCCAACTAAGTGAATTACTGTGAGAACTCTGCTACATTTCCTTATAAGTAGAATCAGTTCCATGCTTTGTCTTGCACTTAAAACACTTTGGAAGAACTTGGAAGGTTATTAAATCTAAACCTTTTGTTAACATAACTTACCAACCAATCACAACATGACCATCAGGTACTCGTCTGTGTACACTGTGAATTATTGAAGAACAGCTCATATCCCTCTGGAACAAATAGTGCTGACATTTCTTTAATTAAACTACAGCAAGTTTCCACACATTTATCAAATAATATACACTGAAACGCTTTAATCCTTTTATTGTGCACATCTTTAGCTTGTATGTTACATGCAATATGAGTTATACAATTTTAGCATGTTTACATCAATTAAGTCTGCATGTTCTTTACATTGAATTAAAAATTATTAAGAGTACATCACAAAGAAATATTGCAAAGCAAACTGGCATTATTTTGGTAGTTTACCTAAGGTTCCCAAGACCTTTTTTTCCACTTGAAACAGACGTACAGGTTAATGGTAAAATACAACAAACAATTTTTGGCTGGCAGCTAAAAGTAGACAGATTATTTAGGCTTAGTGAACCTTTAGTAAAATGCCCTGATCTTTTTTTATCTAGAACTCTTTATCTAGAAGACATTTTTTTCCTATATATACAAGATAAAAAAAACCTTTTAAATTCCATTTAGCTTTTAATTTAGCCTCATTTGCATTTTGCCAGGCATATTTTTTCAAAAAAAGAAAAATAATGATGTCACAGTTTAAATTCACACAATACTGGGTTTAGAGTTGGCAAAGATCAATAGAAAAAGCATAAAATGTCAAGTTTTTTAATATTTATAAAAAATATAGAAATATTATTATGTGATTAAAAGGCACATTTTATATTCTTTCTTAATTATCTTTATTCGCATAATATTGTAAACATGTGTGTAATTTGTATAAGATTTACTTGACTCAATATTTACTACTATAGGGTCAATTCACGAGACTGCCGAAGGATCTAGCCGTAGCTTCGGCTGATCCTTCGGCCAGCTTTGCCCCCAGGACCCCTTTGGTTCAGTAGAACCGAAGGGCTGCTAATTGGCCGGCCGACAGCCTGCTACTGACTGCTGGGCGGAGCACTTGCACAGACAGATCAGCATCCCTGGTTACCAGGTAACCAGGGACACTGATCTCCAGACAGCCCAACTCTCCCGGACGCTCCGGGAGTCTCCCGCTATTAGATAGCGGCTCCCGGCCCCTGGGAGAGAAACATTTTGATCAAGCATAGTAAACCTTTCCCTGCTCGGTTTGTTTTTCTTTTTTTTTCTTCTGACATCGGAGCCGTTGGCTGCCATCAGAATAAAAAAAAAAGAAAAAAAATCACCATAGGAATGCATAACTAGATTAAAAATATTTCAATTTGCAATAGCCAATAGCAACCGAACAGCAGCGAGTAGCCTGTCGGATGTTCGGCTTAGCCGATCCAGATGTTGGATCGGCTGAGTCGAACTCCTTCTGCACTTCGGGTCGGCCGAACATGCTGAGCATGTTCGGCCGACCCGAAGCCGCACGAAGCAAGCCAATGTACGGCTGATTTCAGCCGATATACGGCTGAAATCAGCCGTACAAGCCTGAAGTTTCACTTCGCGTCATTTATTCACTCCGCTGCCTATGGCAGCTTAGTGAATAGACCCCTTTGTGTTCTGTGAAGTTAAAGTATTAGATGGATATACTGTTTGTATTGTTAACCTTACCAATAACCAGGACAATGACATGTTCTCTGGTTAATGCTGTAATCAGTATAGAGTCCACAAAACTGTCTACGGCTAGTCATGGGCAAAAGTCGCCAGCAGAAAGCCTGACTGCTACACAGTTGTTCCACAGAACAACTGGTCCATAAGCATGCACAATCATCTCTGCTAAATGTGTGAATGTTTATACACTAAGCAGACACGTGCCTTTTCTAAAGATAACAGCAGTGGTCACTGGAAAAATACATTTTGGAAAATGATTTTATTTGAGAGTTGACTATCGAGATTAAAGAGTAATGGTGGACATATGATAATTTTTTGATTCAGCAGTTATTAGAATGACTGGGGAACAATCATACTATGTCTATGGATATTTTTCAGGTTTCAGCAAAAAAGACAGCTAAATAATTTTGATTATGATATCAAAATTTTGCTAAAAGCCATTTTAGGATTCTAGTTTTTGCTAGCATTAGGATTGCTAATATAAACATGCAAGTATGAAGACTTTAAAGAGACCATGTTCAGACCAAAATGCTAAAGAAATACTTGCATAAGCACTTACTAAATCATAGGTAGCGATGACACTCACTGCTAATGTGTTCAATTTCACTTCCCAGGAACAAACATTTTATCCGTGTGTTGGGGAATACTGTCTTCCAACATAGTTTTCAGAGACAAGTATATTTCATGACATATTCTCCTTAATGGGAGTTTTAATGAGATGAGAATTCCCTATGCTTAGATCCCAGTGGTGTAGCAACAAACATATCCTACTCTAGATTACTACACATAGGGCACCCTCTGTAACTGCTGTTTTTAGGACTGAAGTCTCAAGAGTAACACAGGTCTCTGTGTTTTATGGTCACAGTGTAGTACCTGACATTACCAGGAGGTAGTGCTTCAGGTGAAATCTTAAATGAAATCATCCATCTCTGATTAAATCAGAATGCTATGTTGGAATGAGGTATGGGGGGAGCAGTCTGTGTTACTGCACAGAGGTATTCCAAGAAAAAATTGTTACTTGAAAAATATGTTGGAAAACAGGAATATATTAGTCAATTTACACTATCTGTATAATAAAGCCTAACTATGATTTAATATTTATAGAAAAAAAGTACTTGTGGTTTGATTTTCCAAAGGCATGTAGGCTTTCTTAGTTCACTTTTCAAAGGATTTTTTACTTTGCAAGAGAATTTAGTCTTAGCGTAGTGAAGCACTGATTTCCATCATCCAATCATGTGCAAGCAAAAATACTTTTAAAAAATGTTTTTTCCTTGCACATGATTGGGTATTCTTTTCAAAGTGAAATTTCCCCACATTCACTAAGCTAAGTGCAAATTCACTTGCAAAGTGAACAGCCGATTTGCCTTTAGTAAATATTGTTTACAGGCAGTGCATGTTTTCAATTCACATTTAATACTGCTACACTAGAGGGCCTGCTAGTAAGGTGCCATAAACTTATTCTTCACAGCAGTGCACATGGAAGCTGCCAAGTTCAGCCACACTTCTCTATGACATAGCATCACATGACCAAGCATAGGAGGTAGATAGGAAAGCTCCTTGCACTTGGCAGGCACGCTTCTTGCCCAACTATGCTGTGAGTGAAGAATGATTGTATAGTGCCTCCCCTTCTGGGCATTCTGCAGTTACTGATGGGAGGCAGCAAGGGTGGAGAGGACATCACATAGTTGGGCGCTGGATCAACATGTTGGGGAAATCTGATCCATTGATTCAACTCAGCTGCCTACCTCTAGAATTATGCCACTGATTAACAGCTTCAGAGACAGATTGTTTACTAATTTGAGATTGTCTACTAATTTTAAGTGGCATACTATCATTAAAAAAAGTAGTGCCATCATAAACATATATTTTGGTGTACAGTATATGAAAAACCTGTCTTAATAAAAACAAATTATATCTAAAACATCAAGATGTGTCTGAGCAAAATTGTTTTAGTAAACAAAAGCAAGCAAGAGCAATTACAGAGATTTGTAACTGAAATTAAACTGGGCAGCATAAACAAATTGTTGTCTACGAATCAATATGGAACCAATTATCAATGATATAATATTCCAAATACTTTCAGTGGATGCTTTACAGTGTTTGATATTTCTAGTAAGACATACACATTTTTAAACCCACATAACATTTTTGTAAGGAAAAAAAACACAAAAATGAATCATTAACAAACAATAACTGGATAGACGTGTTCTCTCTCGGAAAAAGGCACAAGTGAGAAGTGATGATTTATTGCATATTTCGAACAGAAATAAGGATTATTAGCATTTAGCAGCCAGTTTTCTTGCAATAATACAGAAGGACATCTAGAACCATAGAACAGCTTATAAATTAGCCCCATGCAACTTGTCTTTGGCATTTGAATGCAATGCACTTCATTGCTGAAATAGTGTGTTCAGTACTTGTTTTGTGTTCCAGAAAACTGAAGCTTTAATAAACACCATAAAAATGATATGCCAGAAATAATGATTGGACAAAATGTATAGGCCTTCAATACAATACATACAATGTTGAGCAATTTTATGTGATAAGTGGTTACATTTACACATTTGCTATTTACTGAAAACTCTTGCTAGTACAGTAGGCATAGAAATAATCAAGCTTCTCCATTAAAGTGAGCTATAAAGCTTCTGATAAATATCTTTATATACATTTGATAACACTGCAAGCATCTCAAGTATGTTTGCATTGTTGCTTTTGAAATAAAAATGTGAACTCTCTTAGCTGTAGTCTATGAATTAAACATTCTTTCACAGAACTGCATCAGCTTGAGGAATGAATCAAAGAATGTAATCTCCATCAGTTTATTGTTAATTAGATACCTATTGCTTGCATCATTTTAATTATAACATGTAAGCAATTTGTGGATAGAAAAAAAAATACAGTATTTCACAAAATGCCAATAAAATGACATGTAGCTGGTAACAGAAAATGTACTTTATCACAAAACAAACACTTCTTTGAACCTAAATCTTCTAAAAGGGTAAAGATTTTGCCCCAGGATACATACTCTAGTTACTGATCTCATGTCAGTGCTCATAAAATATTGACACATATCTGACATATAACTCTGTTTAGATGTCACCTATACTTCTTTGCGTACAGTAATTCGAACAAAGCTGAACACCTTGCCAAAGGCTTCAAACAATGGGTCACAGAACGTGTGGATGCAGATGGAGTAGACTCGGCTAATGCACTGAATTTCAATCAAGTAGCTCTTTATGCATGGAACCACAGCCCAGATGTGCAGGAAAGAAAGGATAGCAAAATAAATGCCCCAAATGAGTGACAATGGTATTCCAAAGATTGCAGACAGTAAGCGGTAGAACCAGTACTTAGTCACAGTGAATGTAGTGAAGCTTGCTTTCCATATGCCATCAAAACTATGGGTCCCCTCAGGTTCAGCAATCACATCTTCAAAGTCAATCTGAAATAAAGAGAAAAATACTTAATACCAACTTTACTGAGCCATGACATATGCCAGGCTTATGTCTATTTATGTCAATATATGGATGAAAAAAATGGGGTGGTATTTTATGTTTGTGGTACTACTATTACAACACATGGATTGCCAAAGAACAGGCTCTGAAATTAACATTGATCACGCTTTACTTATCCATTTTGTCTGTACTCAGTACAGAAAAGTAAACCTGATTATCAGATGTATGGAGTTGCCCCCCCCCTGTTGTGGCTAAAATGGCATCAACTCTTCTGGGATGGCTTTTTGGAGTGTGTTTGTGGGGATTTGTGCTTATTCAGCAATAAGAGTATTTGTGAGATCAAGTACTGTTGTTAGGTGAGAAAACCTTAGCTCTGTTTCAAAGGCTACTAAAGTTCTTATACAATTTGTGGTTTTCCAGGCTGGATGCTTTAGATCCAACTGACCCCAACTCAGCAGCTCAGAATGCTTCTGTTCATTGGTATCTCCTTGACTTAAGGTTGTACAGTATAGACTGGAAGTTTGGGTTATTTATGCCTGATCTTATCCAACTGCTTAGTATGAGTAACAAACATTTATATAGTTCATATTTACTTTAAGAAGGACATCAAGTGACAGTCCACATGCAGCCAACTATTTATGGTATAAAATATTGAAAGAAGACTTAGAATTGGTTTTATATTTTCATTAGACTATTGGAAATATATATTAGACAAAGGACTGTAAATTCACCAAATTTTATAGGTACAAAATGGAAATGTTAAAATGACAGTAAATCTGTTCTAGGAGAGTGAAAGGCAAAAAGAGGAGGATGACAGATAATTATTTACAACAAAGTCCAAATCCCATTCGCACTGCCACGGTCTCAAAACCACGAGGTATATGTGGTGCCCAGGTGACCACACGGATGGCGCCGTGCAAAACACTAATAGTAAATAAAAGTAATTCACCGGCACACACTTGAAGGGTTTTTAAAGTATTGATATGTTTATTCAATACCCAATGTCACCGTATGACAGTATGTGACATTGGATATTGAATAAACTTATCAATACTTTAAAAACCCTTCAAGTGTGTGCCGGTGAATTACTTTTATTTACTATTAGATAATTATTTACCTCTATATTGAGACATTCTTACAGTCCAAGAAGGCACACTGATAAATGTGAGAAGAACAATATTCAATCCCAGCCTCTACACACACACCTATAGTGCACCATGAATTTAGGAAACACAACATTTATTCTCAGTCAAAGCGGAACTACTCTTGCTTTATTATTGGTGATTAACACTTTAACTATATCATGACACCTTAGCAAATACAATTTAGTTGATAATGATAACACTTCCAAACCTTTCATAATGTTTTCATACACTTTCACATTATTTTCTTCACTGATGACTATTTCAAAGGTTACAGAATTGCATTTCTAAATTATACTGCAGGAAATCATTAAAAATGGCATTGCCATAATCATCTACAAAAGTTAGACTCATCTGATATTAAATAAGCAAATAGAATTGCAAATAACCCGGTTGCACATGTGGGAACTACTTTTCGCTTGCAAATGATTTTCTATCCAATTTTAAAGTTACATCTCAGATAGACCGCTTCAGAATTTACATATATATTTTCCTCCCATCAAATCCTTAGCTTGATAATATTTTTCATGATGATTTACCGAAATGAGTATCCTTCAGTTAGTTAACGAAGATGGTCTAAGGGCCTCACCTCAATCAGCATAGGTAGTAACTCATATGTAATCAGAATAAGACGGCACATTTTGCCCATCAGCAATACAAGGCATCTCAGTAAAAATTATTTAAGTTTGATAGAGTAGGTGAGCAATATAAAACAAGCTGTTATATTGGGTGAGGGAGCTGTCATTTCCTGGGAATGACATCAAAGGAATTCTTAGATGAATTATTTCTCGGAATTGCTACTGATGTTTTATTAGTAAGAAACCTTTACATATTTCAATTTATTAAAAAGCTTAATAACATTCAAACATGCCGAACCTTCTGACATGCTATCTGCATTTTAATATCCAGTTAATGGAATCGAGTAAGTTAATACCAAAATAAATAAAAACTTTTATTTACATGTGCTTGGTTTGTCAGAGTGTCCATTAGAATTATTCATACAAGTAAAAAATGTAGTAACAAAGTTATTATTGCAATGTAAGAGCCATTCTTTAAATTAAATGGTGGATCTGGATGCCATTGCACATATTGCTGCATCAACAAAGCACCTTGCCATACAAAGATGGCAGCTTTGTGGGTGTATAGTAGCATGTGACTGTAGGATAGGAGACATTTGGAAGATTTGTAGAGTCTCTTACGATAAAAGCATCAATGGTAGTACCAACTTAGTGAGGTTGAGTAGAAAGTTCACTTAGTAAACTCATGTTCACTTCAAGTACCTAATCCTGTGCAAGTGAATAAACAAAAATGGAAATTCCCATATGCATGGTTGGCTGACATGAACTTAACTTCACTGAGCTAAATCAACATTCTGTTCTCTAACTGTCCTGATCACCAATGTCACCAGGAAAGAAAATGAGGGTAAATCCAAAATTCTGAGTTTCCACCAGAACAGGAAGAGAGTGGGAAACTTCCAATGGGGACACAAATGGGATTTCCCTCACATTGGAAAGATTTCCTCTCACTTCCTTTTGAGTCTACAGGACTAGATGAGAACAGAAATCTCCATAACAGGACAGAGAAGCAAAACAATGACAGTGGTTTTAACTCTCTCTAGATATTTATTTCTACTTGTGGTGGTGAATTAAACGGTTACGCCGAACTGTTATAGTAAATCTTATCAATAAACTTACCAACCGGTGTCATTAGACTTCAAGACACTCGGACGCTACAAACTAAATAATGGCATATTGCCACAAAAAGAGGTGCGGAAGAAGAACAGCATTATAAGCAATCATACCAGGAGGAAGTTCATTGTTTGTCTCCAGAACAATCCCTGGCTATTGATGAAACAAAATCACAAGTAACGGCTTTAGAATTTAGTCTTCTACTCTATTCTGTATATATTTGCTGACCTGGAGACTTTGTAGTTCTATTATCTAATTTTAATCAGAAATAAAATATGGCTTGGGCTATGTCTGTTCTTTCTTCTTGGGATGTAATACAAAGATAAAAAAAACAAACACTGGTGGAACATGATCATAAATTTGAATGTATTTATGCAAGCCAAGACACTTTGCTGTGCTGTTCAGTTTTAATATAGACAGGTCAAAGTTGGTCAAGAGACATCATGGTGTTACCTTTTTTGTGCAAATAATAGTCAAAACTTCAACCAGAATCAGAATTTTTTTTTACCTTCTAAATGTATTCAGGATCTGTGACCCCCTAATCAAAAGCTTTCAGCCCACAAGTATCTTGCTGTTTCAGCTGATGTTACTGGTAGTTACCTCTCAGCAAGTGATAACTACCTGTCTCTAGGAACCTTTGCTGAATTACATATAACTTAAAAACCTGAAGCAAATCAGAGGTTGCCTAAATTATGTCCTTTGATTACCATGTTTAGCTATTCATGTTTAGCTATAATATTACTGCTACAGCTAAAAGTAGACAAAACCTCTTGATTAGTACTATATATATAGTACTAAGATAACACCACAAAGATAACACCACATTTGACAAAGATAACACCACATCCAGCCTGGACAGCAGAAAAAAGAACAAAGACTTTACACCTGCAATAGGACGTAACATCAAATTGGACAATTACATTGAAAGCTTCCGCACAAGAGTAGCATCCCTTGTTACCACACAACAGAAAAAAACTACAGACAACCTCCTACCTGCAGAAAGAAAAGCCTTACATAACTTAATGAATGATAAAAACATCATCATCAAACCAGCTGACAAGGGCGGATCAATAGTTATCATGAACACCCAGGACTACATTGCAGAAGGAAACCGACAATTGTCTGATAAGAAAATATATATATACAGTATATATAAAGACCATAACAGCCTTATACTCCCCGTTTCATGAAGATAAATCATGGTTCAGACCTAGACTCCAGTCAAACCTAAAACTGATGCCTACAGAAAGCATAGCTTACCTATTCAGTACTTCAGTTTTTATCCAGGCACTTCTCCCTTCTACTTCACTGCAGTTGGCTCCTTGCTGCCACTCACATAAAATAAAAAAGGGCCAGTACTAAGGAGTTTATCAGAACCACCAATCAGGTACAAACCTGCCTTAGAAATGTAAAACAGCACAGACTTTAGGAACTCTAAGGGTGTCAAAATGCATTGTAATGTGCATTGCAGAGTGTGTCTATTCATTCTGAATGGCATTTCAATGCCATGCACATTTACAGTGGAAAAATGCACCTGCACAATACAATAGTGCACCACAACACCCATGTAGCACCCTGTGTGTTGTAGTGTGGTTTGCTGTGCTGGATGGAATTGTGCAAGTACGCTTTTCGTATGCATTCAAGGTATGGATGGGCCCTAATACTTCTGTTCTTCCTACTGAGCCATGTAGGTTGTTTTTGTGAAAACAGGTGCAGTAGATTGCAAAGGATCCAGATTTAGGTAAACTGAATGCAGTTTTGATTTCAACATTTTGGAGTGTGTACTTGATTAGTGCATTTGTGATTGCTCTCACTTGATGCCAGGAATCTCTCTTTAAAATAATAAGCCCAATGGGCTTCTTTTCAAATCGTCCCAGTTACATATGTTAATTCAGACATGTTATGGCCTCCCTTTTCAGAAAAGTAGCACAATGCCAGAATGGTGTAAATAATTTTTTGCAGTAAAACTGACAAATAACTGAAAGGAAGTCAACCTTAACTTGCATTTCTAGGTTGAAGAGTTCTCAAATATTTACCAAAAAAACTGTATCACATTAATCAAAGACACCATGGAAAGCCTGATAAGGTTTGAAAAGTCTCCCTTTGTTAAGTCATGAAACCTCTAATTTACTATTAAATTATGAAGTAAATGTTTTT